TTTCCTTCTACACGCATTGTCGGTTGCTTGTTTCACTTCAAGCAAGCGTGTAGAAGGAAACTGAAAGAGTATCGCATGCCAAATGACGAGGCTTCAATTGCCATGTCGTTCGGGGTTTTTGACATGCTCACAGTAATTGATCCAGATAAAATAGCTATCCAGGGTGTCACTTGGGTGAAACGCGAGATAAAAAAGCGTTGCAATGTAAAAGGACTGGCGTATTCTCGAAGAAAGTGGAAAATGTTTTGGAGATACTTTTCCAAAACTTGGTTGGAAACATACCCTCCTGATCTGTGGAATATATCGAGTAAAAAGGGATATCGTGAATAGGACGAATAACCCTTTAGAGCGATTTCACCGCGAGTTGAATGCCAGGATGAAGCCTCATCCATCACTAAAGTATTTCGTTCGCTCTATTGAGGAGCTAGCCAGGGAGTATGTCGTACTCCGTAAAAGCATAATATCCGGCGATGCTGAAGCCCCTCTGAGGCCACCAATGCGCTTTCCGAGACGGGCAACTCTCCCTGACACTGGCGATACTGATAGCTCCTCCAGTGACGACGACGATGACTGTGCACCTGGCGGTGGTAGTAGTGACGCTGACTCGGAGCTTTCAGACGAAGACCTGGGCATTGTGTACGACACTTCCTTTGACTACGAGATTGAAGACGATGAAGAAAAATCAAATGCCGCCTAGACTGCTAGTCATACTGAATACAACCACATTTGCATTTGATTGTTGTGAATATTATATTATTGCGGGTTGCCCTTCACGTGATCAAACGATGTCTGGTCACGTGACCTAATCATTTTTTTTTGCTGCTACCAAAGGAGATAGTGACCTGTGATAGTGATTACCCCTGTAGTGGCATGGTATAGAGAGTATGTACCATGCGATGTTAATTACTTAAGTCCGTAACGTAATTTAAGGAGCTTCAAACATCCGAGCTCACTGCGCTGGACAGTCAAGAACAACTGTGTGATCAACTGTTGCGCTTGATGCAGAACCATTTCGGATGTTTAGAATACTATGTGACCAATTGTCAAAGCATTATTTTCAAGATCACAGACATGTCCGACATTGAATAGGTCATGCATTTTCCAAAACGTCCGGTTGTTGACATTCACCAGCAAGTGAAGCTGCGACAGTACCGCAACAAGAAGTAAGCCACGACGTTTGCACTGACGTATAAGCGCACGCATAATTGTGGTTCGGGTGGTCAGAACAGAGAACAAGCAAATCGGCGTGCTCAAGGCCAGCGACGCTTCCAACATTCAGAATTCCCCATCGAAGAGCCAACGCCAATGACAATGGCGAGAGCTAGATGCCGGCCGCCAACACAAGCAAGCCTCCAGGCTTGTGGCTCCAGTCAAGTCACCACGTGCGAGCAGGAATTCGACCCCGTCTATGACTAAGAGGCTGTTCAAGACACCACAACGTAGGCGAGGCTCTGAACTTGCTGCCGCATCTTGTGTAAGAATATCTGCCCAGGAAACTCAAGAAGACAACAATCTGGGTGTTGCTCTTGGCTTGATTGCGACAGGAATCCCGTTTCGAGTAGTGGAGAACCCTCATTTCCAAGCCATGTTTGACTACGAGTTGCCATCTCGTCGTCATATATCAGGGCGACTACAGGATAAACTTTACGAACGCGAAAAAAAACCCGGGTGATTGGGATTTTTTTTGAAGGAACTATATCAAACCTGGCTCTTATTACCGATGGCTGGACGGATACAAACGGAGATGGAATTATCAAGTTTGTTTTTGTTAATCCGCGAACACCACCGATTTTCTGGAAATTGATCAATGCTAAAGCTGAAGTACATTCCGCTGAGTACATTGCGAGTACGATTTGGACTATAATCTTGGAGTTTGAGGCAGAAGTCGGTAAGGGGAAAGTTACTGCTGTTGTAACAGACAATGCATCAAACACGAAGAAAGCTTGGAGACTAGTTCGAAAAAATCGCGTTGGTATGGTTTGCACCGGCTGCTCTGCACATGGCATGGATCTGTTGGCGAAACAAGTTGAAGTTTTTCGATGATGTCCTAAACAAAAGTCTACGATTCTGGCTTATTTTGTCAATGTTCGTCGGGGACTGTCATATCGATTTCGAAGGATACAGAAGGCGTTGAGGAAAAACGTCGTGATACGTCGACGTCTTTCCT